CTACCAAAAAAGCTCGACATGGCTTGGTACAAAGTTTTTTGGCCAATCAGACTGGTCCAAACTCACCGAGACGGTTCCACCTTATTTCAGGCATACGGTCACTCGTTTCAATTAAAACAAAACTTTCATTACATTTGTTTAATACGTATTGTACGTTGAATTAGTTATACAGAGTAGCACCATCACGTTTAGTACGGGCGTGGTGGTTGAGTGGGAGCGGTGTATCCAGGTTGCGGATTTGTGAAAGCTTGTTGAGCGGGTTGACCAGTAGGACCATACGCTTGTTGAGCAGCTAGATTAGCATTCGCCTGACGGTGCTTAGGATCGCCAAAGGTCTACTTTATATGAGCCAATGCAAGTACAACGTTCGTTAGAATCTCACCTTGCGCTCCCATCCTTTCTGCTCTGTAACTGGATTGTTGGTCGCGCGTCCAATTGCAGCTTCAATACCACCTACAAAGGAGTATAATTCAGCCTTCATTGTATAAGGAAAGGTCTTAGAATCGCCTACCCATTATGCGATCGCCCATATGCGCCTTGGGTGCTCCGGTATGTGTTCCGGTTGCTGCAGCGGTTGTTCCTATACCACCATGTCCACGTCCTTGAAGTTCGGCTGCCCTCTCACGCATGGTGGCTCCATGACCACCGTGGCCACCAACAGTAGGACCGGTCGTACCTGTGTATCCACCGGTTCCAGTTCCGTATCCACCAGTGTTTGGTACAGTCGTGTTCATCATTGGGTTAGCTGCAGCAGTATTGGTCCCTACAGGAGGAGCGTTCATGGGAGGAACAGGGTGATTGCGTCCAAAGGTGGTACGATCCTCATGTTCAAGGTACTCTCGTTCACGATGAGCTTGAGTACCCGGAATATGAGACTCGATGCGAGTGGAGAGAGAGCCCTTGGGGTGGACATTAGCTAGAAACAATGTTAAAAGCCATTTCGATGAGACGACAGAATTTCAAGTGCCTCTCGAGTTGAAGGGTCATCGTACTGAGTTCCCAGTATTCTGTATAATCGGACTGAAAGAGGGTTCTTTGCATCTGTTGCCAGCGGTGTTTGGCT